TGTAGCTTCAGCAGCTTGTCAACCATCGTGGAAAAATATCTGTCACACTGCCACCATAATTACGCAGAGCTGGGGCTGTGTCGCTAAGTCACGGGCGACGGACGCGGCGGCCATGACACCCACCTAATGTTGCCGTGACAAACGGCCTTGTCCTCCATGTACCAGAGTCCGTTCGCCAGGAACGCAGCCGCCTCCACGAGGTCTACCGGTTTCAACTTCGTCCTGCGAATTGTCGTCGAAAACAAACAAAAAATCCGAGTTTTCGTCTTATATCATCACGAACCGACTTTACGTACAAGGACGGGTATAACGTGCATTGCGTGAATTGTATCGTATTATATTGTATTGTCTTATATTGTATGGTGTTGTATTGTATAGCTGTCAAAGGGCCCCTGAGGCGACCAGTGTGGTACACTAACAGGGTGTTCCTGATTAATAAATAAGCAAGAAAACAAACAAACAAAATATAGATTAATGTATATATATATATATATATATATATATATATATATATATATATACAGTGTACAATATATACACACACTATATATATATATATATATATATATATACATTAATATGTGACTAAACGAATCGTAAAAGAATATAACTAGTGATTACATTCATACGCGTGATCTCCTATTCTGTAATGCAGTATAGGATGATGGATGGATGCTTGCCCCCTCCGCCCTCCCCCTCACCTGTGAGCTTGGAGGTACTGGTCGAGGGGTCCTAGCGGCAGCTGTTCGACGATGAGAGCGAATGGACTCAGCTGCACCCCGTACACACGCACCAGGCTCTCCTGCCGCAGAAACACAAACCGACTGCAACTGTCCTGGTACTCCTAAAACAGCGAGAAGCATCTATGTATAAACAGAGCATCGCGCACGTCTACGCGGAAAAATCCGCATACAAATCGCGCGCGGAAGAGCTCTTGCTAGTGCGTTCTTCCTGTACGTACTTCGTTTCACTGGACGCTTCGTCGTGCAAAGCTATTCTTGGTTTGTGTGCGGTAATAGGCAATTGTAGTGCATATTACTCTACAGTATGTACCGAGTGAGAAAATTACCTTCATCAAATCTGCGGTGAATGTCTCTGACCTGAGACATTGAACAGCGACTGGCATGTTATTTTGAAGCTCCCACGTTGCTTTATGCACTTCCAAGAACCTGAATAACCCATGAATGATGATGTCATATATACATATATAGTGTATAATTACTGAAAGCAATATTTTTTCCCGTACTATATAAGATGACATAGTACTTTCTCGTAGTCTTGCTAGAACTTTGCTATAATGTTGCTCTAACATTGCTGTATCATTCCTACAACGTTGCTATAACGTTCCTACATTCCTGTAATGTTGCTATAACGTTGTTGTAATGTTGCTATAATGTTGCTATAACGTTGTTGTAATGTTGCTATAATGTTGCTATAACGTTGTTGTAATGTTGCTATAATGTTGCAGTAGCATTGCTACGACGTTGCTTACGTTCCGCGCGCCATCACAGCGCCAGCGCTAAGACTTAGCTGCTCGGACGGGATGATGTGAGGCTGCAGAAACTCAGTGTTCACCGCAACCATCTGCTCCTCCTTCTGCTGCCTCCTCTTCCTGCACATCAGCAGATTCGACTTGTCTGCAAGGCCAAGCGCAATCAATTAAATCGCAAATCGCAATAGATTAAACCGACCTAATTTATTGCGTCGCGTCGATGAATTATTATCTGCTATACAATAGGCGAGTGCGAACGTCCACACAACATTGCATGCGCCTCCTAGCATCGAAGAAAACTCAGTATATCTAAATTCTCTGTTCATATTGTACGGTATGCCTCCCAGCGCACAACAATACTCTGCATAGAGACAAGTCTCTGCACATAGAATCATGTACTCCTCTTAAAGTATGATAAAACTCTGCATTGACACAAGTTTCTGCACATAGAATCATGTCTTCCTGTGTGAATAGGATAGAACTCTGCATACACACAGGTCTCTGCACATAGAATCGTGTGCTCCTCTTTAAATACGAAAAAAACTCTGTGTGGAGACTTGCTTCCCTGCAGAGCATTGAAGTCGGTACTCTAAGAGAAGCACATGATTCTATGTGCAGAGACTTGTGTCCACGCAAAGCGTCAATTGCTCTTCTTTCGGGAACGAGAAAGCGCCAGTTTAGAACGTAGCACCGTTTTTTTACGGAACGTAGCGCCACTTCCGATCCAAATGCCGAGTCCCCCCCCCCTCGACCACTCTCGACGTACTCTACGTTTTCGAAACGAAATCCGACGTCGCATTCATTCCGAGAAACCACTTGCCGGCAAGGCTCCGCAATGACTCACCGGTCTCGAGAGGGTGGATGCACCGGCTGAGAGGGATCTGCTGGCTGTCGCCGATGCGTCGCACGAGAGACATGATGTCCGTGAACAGCGCGTCGTCCTGGTCCTTCAGAGAGTAGCGACCTTTCTTCTTCACCACCTGAGAACGTCGTCAAACGACGGCAGTGTCAACGCGTGATGCTGTCACGCAAGATAGCGTGACACACGAAACACTGCAGCATCACAAGTGTGTGTGGTTAGTGAGAATGTGGCCAGCACAAGTGTACATTATCACATATTCTGTTGAGTGTAAACTCTAATACCCTCCAAGGTGTAACATTGTTACCTGCATCATGTAATTCTATTACCGGCATGCATGTAATGTCATGACCTGTCGGGTAAAACAGAAGGGCCTGCAGTGTGTAACAGTAATACGCTGCAGGTGTGTAAACAGGTACATACCTCCAAGTGTGTAACAGATAATACCTGCAGTGATGTAACAAATAATACCTGCAGATGTGTAACAGTAACTCCTGCAGTGTGTAACATAATACCTGCAGTGTGTGTAACAGCAATACCTGCAGTGTGCTACAAGTATACCTTGCAGTGTGGTAACAGTAATACTGCCAGTGTGTAAACAATACTGCAGTGTGTAACAGTAATACCTGCAGTGTGTAGACCATACCTGTAGATAACTGAGTATGAATGGTAAGAGTGTCAATAGCCTGCAAAGGTGGTGCAATACCTGCAGTGTGTAAGCAGTAATACCTGCTAGTGTTGTAACAGTAATACCTGCAGTGTGTAACAGTATACCTGCAGTGTGTAACAGAATACCTGCAAGTGTGTAACAGTAATACGCTGCAGGTGTGTAACAGTAATAGCTGGCAGTGTGTAACAGCAAACCTGCAGTGTGTAACAGGCATACTGCAGGTGTGTAAGCAGTAATACCTGCAGTGTGTAACAGTAATCACCTGCCAGTGTTGTAACAATAATACCTGCTAAGTGTGTAACAGTAATACCTGCATGTGCTGTAACAGTAATACCTGCAGTGTGTAAACAGCAATACCTGCAAGTGTGTAACAGCAATACTGCAGTGTGTAACAAGTAATACCTGCAGTGTGTAACAGTAATACCTGCAGTGTGTAACAGCAATACCTGCAGTGGTGTAACAGTAATAGCTGCAGTGTGTAATCAGTAATAGCTGCAGTGTGTAACAGTAATACCTGCAAGTGTGTAACAGCAATACCTGCAGTGTGTAACAGTAATACTGCAGTGTGTAACAGTAATACCTGCAGTGTGTAACAGTAATACCTGCAGTGTGTAACAGTATACCTGCAAGTGTGTAACAGTAATACCTGCAGTGTGTAACAGTAATACCTGCAGTGTGTAACAGTAATACCTGCAAGTGTGTAACAGCAATACCTGCAGTGTGTAACCGTAATCACCATGCAGTGTGTACAGCGAATACTCAGTGTGTACAGCAATACTGCCAGTGTGTAACAAGCAATACCTGCAGGTGTGTAACAACAATACCTGCTGGTGTGTAACAGTAAATACTGGAGTCACTAGAGTGTGTAACAGCTAGTAATACCTGGAGTGTGAAGCTTGTCGGCCGTGCCTGGTCCTGCACACACACATCGAGGCACACCTGATCGTACTGCGTGCTGCTCTCGCGCACCAAGTAGCATCCCTCCTTCCACTGCGCTCGCTCCTTCAGCTTCCCGATGCAAACTCCTTTGCTGCAAACAAGATTGCAGCGCAAAGTCTTAGATTCGCAGCAAACCAACGATCGAGTGTGGTGGATGTAACGAAACAAGTGCCGCAGAGCGACAGGGCTCATCTAGGTGTCTGGTGTTCTGCTGATAAATTCATTTGTGCATAGCAAGACGTCCTATATATACGTTCATTTCTAACCAAAAAAACAACACTTCAAACTAGTGTAATAAAATTCCGATAGATGGCGGGCCGCTATCAAAGGCATCGTTGCATCGGTCAGCAAAAGCATTGCAGCAATGGCAGGTGTCATTGTGACGACAAATTGCAAAAAGCACAAGCGAATAATTACCATATTATTACTATACATAACGTGCGTTCTATGGTGTCAGGTAATAAGGTACATTAAACCCTTGCGAGGCACATCTGGCTCGTTAAAATTAGCTCAATGGTTGATACAACCAGAGGCAGAGCAGCTCGTGCAAGATTACAATTTACAGCAATACGATAGCAAATATCTCTAAACCAATTTCAGTACAAGGTAGGGCCAGTGATTAGTGGACCGAATAAGCTCAAGAACGTACACACTTGCGTCTATATTGGTGCCAAAATTTGATGAGAAAATTAAGTCTGGGAAATCCGCAGCCTCACTCCTGGGTAATTATTTAAGTGCTAGTGACTGTATTCCAACTATTCATAATGTCCACTACAGAATCTTATATATAAGTCATGTCATTATCTCCTAAGTAAGCATTGTTCAAGTAAGAGTTATGTGTGGATTTCACTGTAAAATGGGAGCTTTCCACACCCACAGGTACTCGCCAATGCAGTTGAGAGAAACAAATCCATGTTTCAACGCCCTCCTCTTGAGGGTCAAAAGGTTTATCCGTATTTACTCTTCGCATGTCAGCGGAAAGTACATTTCATGGTCCTTTCAATAAAGCCATAAAAATGCTAGGTCACCGCTGAAACAAAAATGTTTTTCAATCGCTCCGTCAGACCATGTCCTCAGAAAATGTCTGAAATCTGCCCTGTGCCCCATTGACCTTTGACGCTGTGACCTCCAATTTCGGCACAGTGATGGCTTTTCCTACCATGATGTATACACCAACTATCACGAGCCTTAGTCGAGCCGTTTAGATTTGTGCCGCATTCTGCATTTCCTCCCTATTACTTAAGTTAAGGAGTGAATGTTCCCCCTTCTTTATACACCTCTTGACCTTTGACATTTGACCCCCAGCTTCGACATCCCAACTCGTTTTGACGATCCCCCCGATGTGCCGAATATCGTGACCATACGTCGAGCGGTTAAGATTTGTGCCCAACTGTTGACGCACGCACGGACGGACGGACGGACGATCATGCGATTCTACAAGCTGCATCCGACTACGTCAGATGAGCTAAAAAGGAAAATCTCAAGTTACTGTATAAGCTGTATGTTTCGCGGTGGTTTAATTTTCGCGAATGCGTCCCCGACCGCGAAAATAACAACACTCAAATAATGCATACCGAATAATACATAATTCACGGAATGCGAAATTAACCACTCTCGAAATTGTCGATCAAGTCTGAATTCGCGAAAATATATGTACGCAAAAAATACGGCTTATACAGTAAAACAATAATCGGTAGCATCACTTCTTTTTTTTCGGTAACACGTAATATTCCTACACTTTTGAAACTCTATCCTGCTGGACAAACTGATACTACATTATCCACGAGTCCTCTCTGAGGAGGATTTCTAAGAGTTTGGCACATTCGTATGAGCCTTTTGGGAAATAATGTAAATTGAAGTAGGTCCATGGATTCCAGGCTGTGGCATTGGGTGTGGGAAATTGGGTGAAGACACATTGGGAACCACATACTGAAGTACTGGGCTTTAAATCACTGGCATCAAGACCAACACGTGGTCCATGACCAACGAGTCCAAAGGGTGGAACAGCAGAAATCACGTACCATAGGCCCATTGACAATTCTCGTAGCATTAACATTAGTCGTAAGTGCTATCTTAGCATTAACATTAGCATTAACTTTACGATGTTTCTGACAACGGCCCCCAGGACATACACATTTTAAGCAGCAGTGTCCACGTTTGGGCCACGAAAAATTCCCACAAACAGGACGCTTCCCATAATTATTCCGCGGGGGGTTTCCGCAAGAGTACTTTATACGCCATATTTTTCGCGTACAGATATTTTCGCGAACTTGACAGACAATTTCGCGAGTGGTTAATTTCGCAGTCAGTGAATTATGAATTATTCGCGTGTTGTTATTTTCGTGGTCGGGGACGCGTTCGCAAAATTCTCGAAAATTAAACCGCCGTGAAATATACAGCGTATACAGTACCTGACTGCCCCATGGCACTTGTTGCGTTTCAACTCCTCCAGTGAGGGTGACACGAAGGCCGTGCACAGGTTGAAGTGGAACTTCTCTGTCAGCCGGTAGTAACCGTCGAGTAGCATGACAAATGCTTCAGCCATGCTCTCCGACTCAAACTCCAGAAACTGGAGCGAAAATACGGTTCACACCGAAAACAAGCATTATACATATAAATAATAATAACAGTACTACTAATAATACTATAACAATTTCGCTACTATAATAATTATTGTAAAAATAATCACTGTTATTATTATTATTATTATATGTATAATAACAAATTCGTTTATTATTATTATTAATAATAATAAAAATAAAACAACTTCGTTATTATAGCTATTGTTATTATTATTATTATTATTATTAGTTGTAGTAATAGTAGTAGTATTTATTCTGCCATCAAACGCCTTGCAACCACTCACAGTTGTACCATCAATGCTATTTCACATGTACAGTATATGATCGCGTAATAACCGCGGGCGCCTATAAGCCGCACCTCAATTTGAATCGGGTAACCAAGTATTGCGCCTAGTATATTTCCCCTCACGGTATGGCGCACTTATAAACCGCAGAGCAAATACAGTGTTGAAATCTGAGGCCAAATTTGCGGTTATTACGCGAGTATATACGGTACATGCTCAGCTAATGTTCTCTGCTCATAAGCCGCTTGCGAATTTCGACACACAAACAACATGAACATGACAACAAAAACCACAGCAGCCCGTGATTGTAACTTGAGAAATCTCAAACATAAGAGCAACTCATTTAGGTTTCTTTTCCGAACCGGAATACCACGTTAATAAAAACCACACATCGCGCGTTCAGTAGATTCTCGATTTCAAGTTTTCTGCCTTTTTTCTGCGATTGAATGGCCCTCCACCCGCATCCATAGCGACACTGCCGCCCGGCAGTGACCTCTCACCTCTGGCGGACCATTCTTCCGCATGATGTCGACGCGACACGTTCGTTTCACGATGGTGGCGGCCCCTGCTGGCGGCTCCCGCTCCGTCGCATTCCCGGAATCGGAGTTCTCCGGCTGCTCGTCCGTTCCTGGCGCCGTGTCGCTCGACGGGTCCTCGCACGATTCGTTGCTCCCAGAGGCGCCCTCTGGCGACGACGGCTCAAGGTCGGTGAGCGACGTCGCCGTGGTCGTTGCGAGTGAGCCCGTCATGTCGACGATCGACGTGCTGCCACCAGGGGGCAGCAGCACGGCGTCGTCTATCTGGCCACCGCGCGATGTCTGCTCGCTTGTTTCGTGCTCAAAGACAAACTCGTTGGCGAGCGCGGCAGCCGGTGGCGCACCCATCCGCCTGTAGTGATCGAAGTCAGCGTCGTCGTTTGTTTCGTGCGTCAGTTCGTCTGCCAAACACAAGAACGCAGAGGATGAGACTATGCAATCGACCGATTCTGATTGAGCGAAACAACCACGCCTCTACGGATTTTGTTAAAGATAGAAAATAGATTTGTAATTCATTTTAACATGCCAGCCCTTTAGATAGTCTGTAAGTGCTGTGAGTTCTCACAGTGCTTTAGTGGTGTACACAGTTAATAAGTCCAATGTTTGTAAGTTTTATATTTAAGCTCATTATTGGAATTGCTGTTATTTGTGTAAAACTTAAACGGGATTAGTCATAGCATCATAGTTTACACTCTAACCGTTTGTAAAATACATGTTATCAGTAGAACCTTGCTGTGTTGATGGTAAAACAACAGTCTGTCAATTAGCTTGAGTTTGATGTTATAGTTATGTCAATTAGAATATTAAAGGTATTATCGCTAGGTCTTAAAAGCTCAGTTTATACGTGTTCGCGATCACGCCCACCAGCCACATAGTCGATTTTGCAGCATTTTTAGAGCACAACTATTCCAATGCTGATTATTGGTTAATCAATCCAGGCGAAATATGTCATTTGTCAAATAAAGTTGTAGGTTTCTCATATAATCACAATGCAAATAATACAGACAATGCTTACTGTTCGTCAAGGTCAATGAGGGTGAAGTGAGAGGCAGTGGAGAACGCAGGGAAATTGGTCTAGGGGGCAAAGGCGGCGGGGACTCCTGAGCATCGTCCAACTGTACAACTACTGGCGCCCCCTTGTGGAATGCAAGTGAAATCAGCTCCTCAATCGTACAAACGTGATCCCATTCCTGAAAATATAGATGAAGCACATTTTGTATCCAATAAAGAAAACAGCCACAACTAACCCCCATACAATCCAGGTTTCACGCATCATATTTTCTAGTAATTTGCCTACTTAGGCTTTGTGATGAAAATATTAAAACCCTTAAATCTAGGTTCTATCGCCGCTACAATTTATCATAGATTGCCCTTGTTATCTCGATGGCCAATTACGGCAGGTTTGTATGAACGTCATTTTTATATTAAAAAATATGTGCACGCGTAATCACAGACTGCGAATATTCTCAATGCAAACTTTACGAGGGTCAATAGTAATTTTATTTCGTGATAAACCCGCATCATTAGTGTGTTAGCAAACGCTTCGACGACTGGTCGACCTACTGCCATCTGATGGCAGGCATCGGCGATCCTTATTCATCTCGACAAAAACAGCGAGACTAGCTAGTTGCCGAAACCGTTGCTAGCTCGTTCATTACATGGATTCGTCACACTGCGAAGGTCGTCCAAAGGTTACTCGCCTTTCTCTCGGACAGCTTCAGTCGCACGCCGGGCTGCTCGGCGTGAAACGGACTTATCTTTATCTCGGCCTGCTGCATTATGGTCCTCACTTCTCCCTCGACCGTCGTCTCCGACCTTGAGACTCGGACGGGGAATCGCTGTTGCATGTACTCCACCTCCTTGCAGGTGCCTAGGAGCTGTGATAACAACCGCGTCGCGTAGTAAGATGGATGACGCAGGGCGAGTGAACAGACGGATAGAAAATAGGTCAGACGATCAGAGATAATCGATAACGTTAACAACCGATAACAACGATTGATGATGGATGATAGGATTTAATCTGTTATTGATAGATAGAAAGATGATGTGTTTTCTGCCGTCGCTAATTACAACTTTTTGGCTTTGCTCTCGTAGTAGAGTGAAGTCAGATCACAAGTAGCCAGCTTAACACCATGGATAAGTTCTCCGTAGGTGTACACAACATACGCACAAAGCATCTAAACACTTTCAGCAGAGTCACAGAGAATTCCTACTTTAAACGTGCTCTGCTGTACTCATATATTTCTAATCCTCGTCCTCATTCTCCTCATCATCTTCAACTCACACCTGCGAAATGTAGAGTTCCATGCAGAAGAACTCATCATGACGTTTGTAGATATTATTGTAGATGGTCAGCTGCTTCCTAAATCTCTTCGGGGCATAGTAATACCGCTCCAGCAAGTTGAAGGAGGACAGCGCTCCGTCCGGTAGCATGTCCTTAAAACTACGATGGAAAAAAGCCCATGCACGTTGGAAAATGGTTTTGGCAGTTAAACGTGATCATTCACCGATCAGCGCAAACAGTAATCCGTATGACAAAGAATCGTTCACGGTACATAAGTCATCTACTCGCGTTTCGATTGCCAATTATCGTTTCGACCGTCACTCGACACTTACACTCACGCACCGACACACGTTATCATGGCACTACAGGCATTTTGTGTTTTTTTTTCACACCACACACCAACACCACCTGCCTCCACCACCGGTTACCTGTGCTTGCGCTCTAACTGCCGGACGCCCTCGATCTTCTCCTGTCGCATGATCCTCAGCATGTCGACCAGAGCGAAACCCAAGCACTTTTTCACAGCATCCTTGAGATGAAGCACTGTCAACAAGAAGATACAAGCGAACCAGGTCACTGATTACTTGGTTACTAGGTCAAAGATTGGCTCGCCGAGTGTTGCGTCGATGTCCAATCTCCCAGCGAGCCACACCGCATCGCCGAGGGCACAAGAGTGCGCAAGAGTCGTTAGTAGCTGCCTATTGTTTCAAGTTAGGCAGGTTATACATTCGGTTTGCTGGCAACAGAATGGAGAATCGTGTCGTACATTTTAGTCTGTATCTCCGGATTGCGGGTGTTTACGAGGAAACGATTTCGCACGATGCTAGGCGAATGTACTGTGTACGATTTGAGCTCAAGTTGGTTGAGTTCGCATAGTAAATCGTAGGTATTCTAAGGCTAGTAAATGACGAATTTCCCTTGTTTATTGAAGTCACACTCCTTCCCTATTATCTACTGCTGATATTATATATGTAGCCTCCCAAACAGTTCAAATTCACCGCATAAGCTTACCTGGGTATTGGAAACCCCAGAACGCCCTTTAAATAGTGACGTCATGAGCGCGCTATCAGCGTGCCACCCCGGTAAGCTGAATGTTTTTTTTGTTTTTTTTTATCGAGAGTGTAGAGAGACATTTCTCTTATCGAATAGATATTAGTTTGATTGAATTTTATGAGCAGTTATATGTTGCAATGCCTTTTACAGAGGTACCTGTCCGTAACCCTGACGGTATCCTTAAGGCGTAAACATCTGACTCTCAACATTGGGGACCGTCTATCCCTCGTGGCTTGGATATCCACGTAAAAAGAAGGACCCGTTTGTAATGGGGACATAAAAGAACCACTGACGACCTGAATCACTCTGGCTATGAGCCTATGACCACCTTCAGCGTCATTCGGTTTGGCGGAATCTGTATCCAGAGAGGGTGAGGTAACCCGTACAGATACCTCTGGTGCATTAAACTGTCACGGCGCTGCACTGTATTAACCAGATGCAGATCCAGAACCACAACTAAATAAAAATCCAGGTCCAGATGCAAAACTAGATCCAAACCCAGATCAAAACCCAGGCCCAGATCCAAAACCAGATCCACACCCAGATCAAAATCCAGGTCCAGATCCGAATCCAGATGCAGAACCAGATCTAGTTTCAAATCTAGACCCAGGTTCGAATCCAAAATTTCTTTCCAGATTCACGCCCAGAACAAGATCAAAATCCCAAACCAGATCCAGATCCTAATCCGAATCCGGATCGGGGTCGTGAGTACCTGCGGGTATCTTGCCCGTCGTCAGGTCGTGCTTGCACTGATGGAACAAGTAGCGGATCGTGCTGCGGCTTAGTCGCAGCACCTTGTCACCGTGACCATCGTCAAACGAGAACTGGTGGTTGAGGTCGGGCACCATGTAACAGAACCTACGCGAGGGGAAAGACATGCAGAAATTACGTTAAAAATTTCAGGTCGGGCACCATGTAATAGAACCTATGCGGGGGAAAGACATGCAGAAATTACGTTAGAAATTTCAGGTCGGGCACCATGTAACAGAACCTACGCGAGGGAAAGACATGCAGAAATTATGTTAGAAATTTCAGGTCGGGCACCATGTAACAGAACCTACGCGGGGGAAAGACATGCAGAAATTACGTCGGAGATTCAGCAAAACTTTCGCGTTTCTCGGTCAACAGTCACCAAATAATTTACGTGCAAGTAGGAATGTCAATGCAGGATGACATGTGACGATGTCAAGGAATAAGAGTGTATAGTATATAGTATAGTCATATAACTTTTACCAATATGACTTTCTACATCGATATTTATCGTTAAAATAATGATCATTTTCAATACGAGTTTGTCGCAGTACATTGAGAATCGATGTGTTGAATGTCAATTTAACGAATTGGTCAATGTAAGTCAGATAAAAAAGGCCACGTTTCGCACACCTTTTCATTTGAAACGCGATAGCGATTAATAATAACGGACGTAGCGGCAGCGTCGATCGTATAGATGCCAGTGTTCCGCGCGCAGTAGATACACCAGGTCCTACACCGGCGCCCCCTAGTGACAAGAAGTGCACGCGAGTGGGGTGTCGGCGCACGTACCTGAACGTGACGCGTAGCGGCGGGGCGCCCTCGGCGTATGTCACGCGATGGCCCGGGTGCAGCCACGCGATCGTAGACTCTGCTGTTGCCACCGCCGCCGACGACGAAGGCATCACGCACAGGCCGAATAGGTGGCGCTCCACGGGACCAACGCCGCACTTCCGTGCGACGCCAACGACGATGTCATCGACGGTGACGGTGTTGTCGTCGTCATCGCCCTCCTCATTCTCCCCGTGCTCCTGCTGCTGCTGCTGCTGCTGCTGCTGCTGCTGCTGCTGCTGCTCACTTTCCTCTGCGGAAGAGAATGGGTTGGCAGTTGCAGTAGAGGTATGAATGCATGTGTGGGGAGAGAGAGAGCCCGGGTAGAATGTGTGTGTGTGTGCATGCGTGCGTGTGTGCGTCGACGTGTGTGCGCGCGTGCGTGCGTGTGCACGCGTCTGTCTGCGCGTGGGCGTGCAAGCAAAGGCAGTAGTGTGCGTGCATACGTGCGTATGTGGGTGTAAAAGTAGATTGCGTGAATGTGCTGGGCGTGTATGTCTGTGTGTGTGAGGGGGGGGGAGGGAGTGTGCATGTGTGTGTGTGTGTGTGTGTGGGGAGGGGAGGTGTGCATGTGTGTGTGTGTGTGGGGAGGGAGTGTGCATGTGTGTGTGTGTGTGTGTGGTGGTGGTGGTGGGGGGCATTTGTGTGTTTGGGTGATGGGGGGGGGGTATTATTGTGATGTCTAATTGGGTTTCCACCACATGCAGTGCTAGACGCATATTATGGAAATGTCTTTTTACAAGTGGAATATTACATAATGCAGTGCATGCCTAACTTTTATTTGCCTAATGTACAAGGTATATGCATGCATACACTTGTACGCATGTATCCTATATTCGTTTACTTTGTATATTACCTGGGAAAGTATATGGTCCTGTTCCAGGAAGGTACACAGAGGCTAATTGAACGTGTGATGCCACTGTAGATGCCATCGTTGCGGAGTATATATGCTGTTGATGGGGGCAAACTCGCCGACAACCTTCTAACTTCACCTCATCTTCTTCCTCGTCGACGTCAGCTTTTCTTTTAGCCAACAGCATGGCCTAAACTGATAAAATCGAAGTAAACGTATGCTGAAGGATAGGAGATGGATTATTGGAATGGATGATATGGACGCATATACTGGAGATGCCACTCCCATCCAGGGTTCTCCCCAGGATGAAATTCAAAACAGGGGGGGAGGGGAGGGTAGGGGGGAGGGGAGGGGGAGGGGAGGGGAAAACTAGCGGGGAGGGGGGAAACTAGGGGGGTCGGGGGGCGTGTATTTTTACCGTATGACTAATTAATGCGTAAATCGCCACACACCATAGACGGTATTTTGGGGTTTTGTATATATAAGATAGCCGAGTCGGTGTACAGTTAGTGACAGGTTAACTGTGCATTGTCATGTTAACTTGTGTACTGTCTTCAGTACATGCGTGGTACGGTAAAATACACGCGGCGCGCATGTCCTGGTCGAACGGCAATTCTTGCGATCGATTCCCGCGCTGGCAAACTTTTATTGTGGTGGAATTTAAACAGGGGGGAGTTTTCCCAAACGGGGCGCAACGATTCAAACAGGGGGGAGTTTCCCAAAACGGGGCGCGCGCGCCCCGTTTGCGCAACGTAGGGAGAACCCTGCCATCCAAACGACACAGACCCACAGCTACCTGCATGCAGCATGAGCTTTCGGTCAAAATGTACTTCTTCTAGTCGGGGGGGGGGGAATTTAGTCCCTATATGATTCTGCTATATAAATTATAAATATAATGCAACCGTAAGCCGGCCGGTGTAGGCTGTAGGTCTGCTAGTCCGAGATTCCTCGGTTTGACCAATGCCCACACCGACGATTTTGGGGATTTGGTGTGGGTTAGGTGGTTAAAGTGGTGGTTAAAGTCCCCAAAATCCACAAAATCCTAATCTCGGACTATAGGCCTGCGTACCCCTTCGCCCCAGCCTCCACCATAGGTTGGATAGTGTTTGATGATGATGATGCAGGTACGGGAGTACAAAACTACGACTGAGCACTGTCAACATTATACATGCTTTAAGTCTAAACTACATAAAACGAGCGCAAATTGTTTAACACGATATTTAATATTACTCTGATAAACTAGACATAAAAATACCCACATTATCTAGCATGCACTTATGCAGCACATTAATCCGCAGTACAGTGTGAAACAATGTTATAACAACCACCACCCCTTCTTCACTGCGGCTTCGTACACACCGGAAACCAACAGAACGCATAAAAAGCTGTAAAATTTAAAAAGAATTTGTTTACCCAATGCTTGCCGACCCAAAAGTGCAACAACACACCGAACACATGCATGCACTCTTGCGCGCAATATATACACATCCGCGCGTGTAAAATTAACCGGTTCTCCTGCGTATAATGTGTGGTCGTTACTTCGCCCGGTGACCGGCTCGATATATTTTCTGAGAAGGGGTAGGTCATGGCCGTCCGAAGGGGGGGGGGGTGCGATGCGTGCGGTCGCACCTCATTTTTTCCAGAGTTTACCCCGGGAATTAATTAGCCTGCAAGTCAATTCGTTGCGCAAATGTTAGCGTAGGACCAATATCTTCGCGTGTTTATGCATAAAGCAATTTTATGCATGTGTTTATGTAGTGCATATATGCAATTTTAAGCAGTGTTTATGCATAAAGCAATTATGCATAAAGCAATTTTGACTCAACCAAAATTATTTCTGAAATATTGGCTATAAATTGTGTGCATAAAAATGGTCCAAAATAAGACTCGGATTGCACCAGAGGGCATCTAAACCCCCTGAGCTTCCAATGCCCTGGACCCCGGCCACGAGGGACTGTGATCATGACCGTGCATAAGGACCGTGAGCGCTTGTGATGTGAACTTCGCGACATTATTTCACAGAATACGCACACATACATGATACACCATACACAGGGCTACTCCTGTCATGTCCTTTTTGAAAAGCTAGGGACGGGCCTGTAGGATATGGGTACAAGTATACGCGCAAACGCAAACGCTATGCCACCACGCAATCCGATGTTTAGTTGCTATAATGAGAAACGATATTCTATTTTAAATGTTGCGCACTCTGCTCCTAGATCGACCTACTGCATGTTTTATCGAGACGTAAACGCGAACTGCGTGTATAAACGCAACTCAAACCACGATTAAAAAGTTAACAAAGCGAACGAAGGAACGAACGAAAATTAACGATGGATACATGAAAAAGGCGTTCCGACGTCGGTCGCCGTTGACTGCCAAGAAAATTTTCTGCGGCCGTTTTCATACGTTCAAAGTGGAGCCGGGCTGGCCGACAGCGCGTACGCTTGGTAAAATTTGATCTGTAATATTCACTTTGCTCACAGCATCACGCCCTGGCTTCCCAGCAATGCCTATATTAAATATACAGCTAGGAAGATGGCGCTCGTGCGTCGGTTACCGTTGACTGCCAAGAGAATTTTCTTCGGCTGTTTTTATACGTTCAAACTAGAGTACCTCCATATAGAATATTGTCAATCAACTCAACTTTTCGGCGCCACGGAGACTGTGTCCAGCATATATATATATATATATTTATAATATGCAGATCGCCGTCGGCCGTATAAAAAAGATGGCGCTATGCAATTCGCAAATACGCAGGCGGTCGTCGAATTTCACCATGTTTTCCTATATGCGGATAGCCTGAAAATGGTTTGAATGCATAATTTCGCCTCATGCTCTATATTTTCGGCGCGAACGCGCATGTGCAAATTCGATATTTCCCTTGTGAAACTGGAAAATTATTTGAAATGTGTATAACCAAAACGCACAAACGGAGTTTACTAGATGCCCTAGAGTAGCAGACCGAAGCAGTATTTCGCTGAATTTCCGCAATTTTCCTAGCGAGCACGTACGTTGGGTATACTATGTGCATCCGATAGAAAATTATGCTAGCGTCTCAGCCCGTCGCAGAGACGACGTCGAAAAGAAGTACGGGCGGTAGAATCGTCGTCTGGAGACTATGTCCAGCATATAATATGCATATCGCCGTCGGCCGTCGGCGAAGATGACGCTCTGCAATTCGCAAATACGCTGTCTCCGGTCGACGATTTTACCGCCCGCACCTGTGATAATATGATATCAGAAGTAGATAATATGGAGGGGGAGGGGGGTTTCCTTATGATCTACTTCTGATGATATCTACCGCTCTTTTTAGGTGGGGGCGCCACCATCCAGGGAGGGGAATTTAAATCAACGTGACCAGTCTGTCTGACTTAATATCGGCGGCATAGCGGGGAACCCATGGGGTGATGCTGCAAGCAAAGTGAATATTATAGACCGGATTTTACAAAGCACACGTGCTGTCAGTCTGCCCGGCTCCGGTTTGAATGTATAAGAACGGCCGAAAAAAAGTGTCTAACTATATATTATATAGTTGGACACATATTTGGCGCGTTGTGTTTTGAGACAGTCTGGGGGTGCCTCGAGTAAGTGGGACGCTGTAAACCCACGCTCCAGTTGCAGGAACCTAATTAACTGGAAAGCTATTTAGAGTAGGTAGGCAGTGTTAATGTACATAAAAATGGCGCTCCGACGTCGGTCGCCGTTGACTGCCAAGATAAGGGCTTTAGTGTGTGCGTGCGAGCCTGCGTGCGCATAAGTGCGACACGTGTGCATGCGTGTGCGCGCGCGTGTGTAGATACATAATATAGCGCATAATACAGTCTCAAAACACAGCGCGCCAAATATAACCCGCCCACAGGCCCACCCGCCCACAGACCCGCCCACCCGCCCACAGGACCGCTCACCCGCCCACAGGCCCGCCCATCCGCACGCACGTACGAACGCACGTACGCCCCCCGTACGCACGCACGCACGTCCCCCGCACGCACGTACGTACGCACGCACGCACACGCGTACACAAGTCACAAAGTCGAGTTGTGATTGGTTGAGTCATACAAATACATGTTTCCTAACTCACGTGTGTGAAGCATGATAACCGTGAGGCGCTCGTGATGTGCACTTCGCGACATTATTTCACAAAAAAATGTTAAGTAGGGCTACTACTGGCATGTCCTTTTTGAAAAGCTAAGGACGGGCCTGTATAATTTATGGAGCACATGTTGAGGTCGACGGAGCACATCTCCAAGGCGATGTACGCATATACTGACACATAATGATTAACATGAGTCAGAAACTATGTAACATCAGGGCTTCCATGATTATTTCATCATTACATGAATTATACACATACGGCAATATATGAA